CTGCTGCTGCTGCTGCTGCTGCTGCTGCTGCTGCTGCTGCTGCTGCTGCTGCTGCTGCTGCTGCTGCTGCTGCTGCTGCTGCTGGTCTGCGTTGTTGTTGTTTCGGTGGTGGCGGTGCTGCTGCTGCTGCTGCTGGTTTTTGTTGCTGCTGTTTCTGTGGTGGAGGTTCTGCTGCTGCAGTTTGGTGTTGTTGCTGCTGGTGCTGCTGCTGCTGCTGTTTTGCTGCTGCTGCTGCTGCTGTTTTGGTGGAGCTGGTGCTGTTCTTTCTGCTGCTCCTGGTAGCAGTTCCGCTGCTGCTAGCTCTCCTCCGCTGCTGCTGCTGCTGCTGCTGCTATTTTTGCTGCTGCTGCTGCTGCTGTTTTGCTGGTGCTGCTGCTGCTGCTGCAGCGGCTTGCAGAGCCGAATTAGCTGATACTGCATAGGAAAGAATGAAGCAATATGAAGCGGGATTCTCTTTTGCTGCTGCTGCGCTGCTGCTGCTGCTGCTGCTGCTGCTGCTGCTGCTGCTGCTGCAGCGTCGGCCTTTGTGAAGTCGCTAGCTGCAGCAGAAAACGTCCTTTACTGCAGCAGCTCGAAGAGCTTTTGCTTTTTGAATCCTTTCGAAGCAATTCAGACTGGTGATGCTCTCCACAAGACTGTCCAAATGCGGGGCCCCACAGGTAACCACTCACAGCTAGCTAGCTAGCTAGCTAGCTAGCCAGCTAGCTGGGTGGCTAGCTAGCTAGCTGGGTGGGTGGCTAGCTAGCTGGGTGGATAGCTGGCTAGCTGGGTAGCCAACTGCTAGATGGGTGGGTAGGCAGCTAGCTAGCTGTGCAGCTGGCTAGCTAGCTAGCTAGCTAGCTAGCTAGCTAGCTAGCTAGCTAGCTGGGTGGGTGGGTGGCTAGCTGGGTAGCCAACTGCTAGATGGGTGGGTAGGCAGCTAGCTAGCTGGGCAGCTGGCTGAGCAGCTAGCCAGTATATATAGCTGGGCAGGTAGCCTGGGGAGTAGCTAGCTAGCGGGTGCGTGCTGCTGCTGTTTACTCCTTGCTGCTTACTGCTTGCTGCTGCTGCTGCTGCTGCTGCTGTGCTGCTGCTGCTGCTGCTGCTGCTGCTGCAGGGCTGCGGCTGGACAGCAGCTTCATGGCTGGCTGCAGCTCAGCACTTTCGCTGGTGAATTGTTTGCTGGTGGAAAGAAGAGTTCGAGCAGTTCGAACAACAAATGCTCACAAAAGGGGGAAAAGCAGGTGCCTCCGCCTCGGTACAAACCCTAAACCCTAAACCCTAAACCCTAAACCCTAATTGCTGCGTTTTGGTGAAAGAAGCAGCAGCGGGCGCCTCAAACTCGCTGCAAACCCTAAACCCCAAACCCTAAACCCCAAACCCTAAACCCTAGGAGCAGTTCGAACAACAAATGCTCACAAAAGGGGGAAAAGCAGGTGCCTCCGCCTCGGTACAAACCCTAAACCCTAAACCCTAAACCCTAATTGCTGCGTTTCGGTGAGAGAAGCAGCAGCGGGCGCCTCAAACTCGCTGCAAACCCTAAACCCCAAACCCTAAACCCTAGCTAGTCCCGTCTGTGTGCAAAGTTCGCAGGCGGGGCTGCCCAAACCCCAACCCCAAACCCCAAACCCTAAACCCTAAACCCTAAACCCTAAAAAAGGGTTTGCGCGCAGGGCCCAGCGGCGACAGCAGCTGCGACTTGTACGACAAGAAGAAGTGCAGCAACTGCTACAAAAACATTTGCTGCTTAATTCTTTACCCCACAGGAGATGCAGCAGCAGAAGACTCCAGATTCAAAATCGACAAAGAAGTCAAACAGCTTTGGGACGAGGCGCGCTGCTGCTGCTGCTGCTGCTGCTGCTGCTGCTGCTGCTGCTGCTGCTGCTGCTGCTGCT